TTCTAAAGATGGGCTTCTTATTCAGCACTCCAGGTGCACTGTGGGCACGGATACACAGCCAGACACGCACGTGCACGCCGCACAGTGACACACGCCCACTCGCGCAACACAAAAGCTGGCAGAGGAAAACACAAAGACACACTCATAGTGTCCTTGCACACCAACTGTGATATCGTACTCTCTGTTATTGTGACTGAAGAATGCCAGTACTATCGACTTTTTTAAGCTACGAAATTCCTGTTTATTGTGGCGACAGTTCATACCTTTTTTCTTCTGACTAAAATCCTTTCTTTTCTTTTTTTGGGGGTAATTTGTTATTCTTTATCATTATTCTTTGTCAGTCTTGTCTGCAAGAGACATGCCAAAAATTCATGGAAGATGGATCAATAGTGCTTCTCTGATGGTCAAATCCCTTCCACCTGAGTATCAACTCTCCTAAAATCTGACATCATTCCTGACTCCAAATCAGGAATGTTTATTTTTTTCTGACAGGGAGATTGGGAGCTGGGTTTGAGCTTCATCCCCTAGTTCTGTGTTATTGTTTTTGGTGCCACAGAGTCAGTCATTTGGGACATTCCTTTTCCTGTTTGCTGTTAAATGACAGGCGCCATCCTAATATCGGACCCATTCCGGATGTCATCGACGGTAGCATCTAAACAGAGTACTTACCGGGAAGTAGAGCAGTAAAGCCCCAAACAAGATGGCTTCCAGCAGAATCATTCCAGATGTACGGATTCTCTATGAAAAAAAAAGAGAATATCAAGCAGACAGTGATGGGAGAAGGCAATCCTTTTTTTTTTTTTATCTCCACAGACAGACATCAGAGAGCTGACACAGAGAGAAACAGTAAAAAGAAGCAAGAAGTAGAAAGTATTGCCTTTGTTCGGTGTATGTACTTTCTTGTAGGTGTATTGCCTTATTCAGGTGTATTGTTAGAATCAGTTCCCAGCATGCACTTCATTAAAAAAAAGATACAAAACGTTGCAACATAGTAGCCTTTTCCAGCAGCAACAGAAATATATTCATTTAATGTTTTGTGTTTCGTTGAATCTGCCGGCTTAACGTTTCTGGGTTGCATTTAATTACCCACATAACCTCACGGAGGAGAAGCCTCGTCTTATTTTGATTTTTTCAACGTCTGTTATGTAAATCTAAAAGCCTCCGGGGACATTTCTTGTGAAATACAGGAAATCTGGGAGAGATTCAGAGGAAACAACACAAGCGCCTATATATAGCTCACCTGGGGAAGCTTTGACTTGGTTTTGCCCGAGGCTGGGTTATATTTAAGCTACACCCAGAGAATCTGATACAGTATTGGTTTCACTTTTGTTGGCAGAGTTTGTCACACGCAGCAACTTTGCTAAAATGAAAGGGGGCTGAAACGTAGCGCTCAGGCAAACCTCTGCTCGACAGTCATTGAGTGGATTGGTTAATAATAAGGTGACTTTAGTTTTTTTTTGGCTCAGTTTAGTTAGTTAAACCTTATAAAGTTCATTTGGAAAGCAGTAAAATGTAGTAATACATAAGAGATGCAGTCAGAAACATCAAGAATTAGAAGGCCATTAAAGTAGCAAAAATAAATTAAGACTAAAATAGTATAAAAATCAATGAGGGCCTTAAATGGATCTGCCTATTTTTTTCTGAATGGATTGTCTTTATCTGCATGAGTCCGTGCCTTGATTTATTCTGCAGTAGGTTCATTTGGGTTATTTCCCTCAGCCAGTAAACAAAGAGACATGTTTAGGTGGAGCCCCAGAAGACAGCGGTGTTGAAACTTAAGTCTTTTAAAATCTTTATAAGCTTCAGCAACAATCTGCGACCTCCAGCCGAGCGCTTATTCTCCGTGCGCTGCGATTCGCTGATTCAGCCGTACACTTCTGGGGTAATCCTCAGAAAACCCTATTTTGTTGTTTTTTTTAGTTTGTGAAAATCTTAAACCCTTTCATGCATGAATTATGATAGTTTCAGTCAGGATATTTGGACATTTGCATTAACATAGAACTTTGCAACTCTCACCCTATTCAAATATTCATTACTGTAACTCTGCATGGAGGGGAGGGTGCAGAATTTTCTCTCAAAAGGTCATTAGAGGTACTTCAGAAGACAGGATAGGATTGTCTGATGTGTACATTAGCATGGGTTAAGTTTCAAAAACAGAAATGAGTATGAACTTCATGTAGTTGGATTCTTATTCTGTTTTTAAAATAGTTGAGAAAGTGGGTATATTTGGATGACAGATCTGTTGTTTGGCCTTTTAAACTCCCTTTAAACACGTATGTAAAGTCGGTGCTGGCGTTCTCACCTTGTTCCTCCGGAAGTGGTAAACGACCACCATGCTGGCCAGGTCCAGCATCATGCACAGTCCCTGGAAGGAGGCCACGGCGAGCCGCAGGACGCCGTCCCCCTGCGCCAGGCAGGGCGTGTCGTCCTGGCAGAAGGGGCAGCCCTCGCGGCACGGCAGGCACCGGTTGGACGTGTCGGGGGACTCGTCCCTGTAGGGGCCCTGCCGCTTGCCCGAACCTGAGGGGGGTGAGGATTTAAGCTTTATTAGTCTCTGGGCACGGTGGTGCGGTGGTTAGCACCGTCGAAGGTACTGGGTTCGACTCCCAGGGGAACCAGGATCTTTCGGTGTGGAGTCTGCATGTTCTCCCTGTGTCTGCGTAGGTTCTCTCCGGGTTCTCCGGCTTCCTACCACCATCCAAAAACCTGCATGTTAGGTGGATTGGACATTCCAAATTGCCCTTACGAGTGACTGTAAGTGTGCGTGGCTGTTGGTCCTTGATTGTCTCTGTGTGTGGCCCTGTAATGGACTGGGGACCGTCCAGGGTGACCCCACCTCTCGCCCATTGACCACTGGGATAAGCTCCAGTTCTCCCCTCAACCCCATTAGGGAATAAGCGGTAACGATAGTGGATAGATGGATGGATAGTCTCCGTACACTCATTGGCTTGGAAACGATCATATCCGACCGCTTCTCTGAACCCTGATTTACTTGAGTGTTTTCAAGAATGATCATCACATTTAAATTTCACTCAGCTGCACCACAATAACTTCTTTTTAATTGCCCAGTTAATCAGTCTGAAGGAATAAAGATCATCGGTCTAATAAATCAAAAATCCTCGGGGTGATAATTACAAGTACACAGATTTGAGCTAAATAGATTAAGTCATTATTATAGAAGGAAGGATTAAGTGTTGTGATGCTGCTCCCTTCATCGCTCTGCAATGATTTAAGAGCCTTACAACAGCATGTGATGCGTTTTAGGTGGTTAATCTCTATCGATAACACGTTCCGTCTTCTCATTTATCGATGGTCACATTCTGCTTCCTTGGAAATGTGAATCCAGTCGATAGCGTGAAGACGTGGGAGATGATGCTATAAATATAGCTCTTAATCTGTACGTTCCACAACTCATACAGTATGCAAACCCGGCTGTGGCTGCACGGCTCATCTGAGGAGAACCGCAACCACCGAAAAGGGATGAAAATGTGGAGACCGAAAAAAATATACCAGTCACAGCAGGAACCCGTCATTCAAAAGTTCACTTAAAAAGACTGGTGTGCATTTTTACGCACCAGTAATACGTTGGTGAAAGCGTAACCTATGCAGGTTCCTGGAACAAGTCAATAGGACCAAGACAGAAAAATCATTTTTCTATGTGAATCACAGCGGATCTTTAAAACTGATGCATAGACAGTTTGCAGCCTGTCCTTGTACATCTGCAGTCGATCCATAATTGATGTGAACGTCTATCATATCAGGTTATTCATCACCGGCTTTTTTTTCCAGGATATTCCTTTCTGCTACTTGTGTTGGCACGTTTCTAGTTCAGCTGTCAGCAGAACACTACAAAATTTCAACAATGTGCTTCAATTAATGAGGCATTTAAGGCCTGAGTGGTTCTTCGGTGAATGCGGGGTTGGAAATAATGCATTTGGCTGCATTGTATTGTATTTCAAAAGGAATTAATTAAGAGTAACACTAGAAAAATTTCTGGAGAAAAGCCAGAAAATGTCTGTGTGCAAAACTACATTATTTTTCTATCATGTAAGAAAGATTTCCGTGTTTCACTATTAAATATTTAATTTCCCACTTACTAAGAGTTGCTTGTTGGCAATCTATGAATTTAAGCACTTTCAATTCTGTGTAAAGAAAATGACCTATTCACAAAGATCCTTGTTAAGTAAAAGTGGAAAATTGGTTCTGGTAAAAAAAAAAAAAAAAGATTAGTCTGTAATTCAACTGAGAATTGAACCATTTAAATATATATATTTTTAATTCTGATGTTAAAACAGCATTTTCAGAGACGAAGTGAGTAAAAAATGTGTCAATCAACCACTTCTTGGACAAAAATCAGCAACTATATCCAAAGAAGTCTGGTGAACATGTTTTAAAGCCAGCATCTGTGCATTGCACATATTTACAGCTGTTTGCATGATTTACAAGTTTATTTCTCAGAGCTTACTCATGATGAAAGCTGCCAGTTATCATTTGCGGCAAATGCTGTCTTGGACATATGTCAGCTTATTGATTCAAAATCACCACACGTCCGTCCCACTTACCGTCAAACGCAGCGCATTCATTGATGTGCCAAAAACCCGGTTATGAAAACTCACTTGAATGTGCCATTTCTAGTCAATCAGGCAACCAGAATCCAAAATGTTATATTCTAAGTCATCCTATGCAAGAGGGATCTAATCCCATTAAATTTTACCATTAGGATTTTTCCAGTGACCCAAATTTAAAAAATCACTTTCAGGGAAAAAAAAGACTCAAGCAAAAACTGCTGTAATAGTGTTCTCATACAATTGAATTGTCAATAATGATTTGTTACTTTTGCTTCAGGGCTTAATGGAACCCATAGATCATTTTTCATTTTGAACCAGTGCACTGTAACATTGAAAAAATCCATGTGAAAATATCACGAATGAGTCTGTAGGACTTTCAAATCCCTCTATGTGTCCACCGGGAACAGACAAATGTTCGAATATCACACAAGAGTCAAACATAACTTTGCGTTCAGGGGCAAATGGCAGCTTGTCATTTCCGATTTATAACCGGGAAAGATCAAAGAAAAAATCCCAGGAGGTTGGATAACTTGTTCGGCCTCATATGGTAAAGTCCATCTACCCTGACTAACATCATTGTGAGTCCAAATCAAAGTATCTAACGAATTAAATGGGCAATGTGATATTGCTGATGACAATTTGTTGCCAACCTGGAAGCGGCCACGTTTCCACCAAATGTGCCGAGATTGAAAATGACATCATTCCAATTATTAGATCCCCACCTCGGAGGAACATTAAATGCAGAAAAATGTCCATGACACAAAGAGGGAACGACTAGTGACATGGATGTAAGTGAGCCATAATTGCTGCAGGCTGAGCTGAATGGGAGCAGCGGGAAGTTCTCATCCAGGGCTTTCAAATGAACAGTTCAAGGGTTGGGGTCATCGGGTTATAGGATGGTGTCTCCAGCAAGATTAGCTCTGCTTTAATCTTCCTTCAAAGGCTTCCCTTTTATTCTAATACTCAAACTACATTCAAAAACCCCATTTGAAGAAGCTTCTTTACTTTTCTTTCAACCCTTTTCTTTACAGCAGGGTGTGTATTTTGGGTAAAGACTGTGTGTATTTTCTCAATCTCTGCATAGCGGCGTGTGGATTAAACCAAAAAAAAAATCTAACAGAGGAATTAACTAAAGCTAAAAGGAGACGGACAAGAAAAAAAAGTATATGACCGACTTTGTGAATTATAAAGGCTTTACAGTTTGAGTTTTCAAGCCACAAAGCCACTTTTAACTCAGCTAAACTACACAGCGAATGCATTTAAATGTTATGACCACATTGTTGACGAGGCTGTTGGCACATTACGCTTTACATCAACCGCAATCTTGAAAGCCGGTGTGTGTATAAAGAGCCGTGAAAGCTTTCAATTTACGTTTAATGCCTGGAGATATTAACTAAGAATCCACATCCAACAGGTTATATATGAAACTTGCTGAGCTGAAGGATATCTGCAGTTACAGTAACACAAAATCTGGACGGACGCTTTGCTAACACCAATTTATCCTTTATCTATTTACCTTTCTACTTTGCTTTTTCTATGTGATTGCATTGTGATATCATGGGGCGGAGATTAGTGCACTTGTTGAAGATGTTGTTAAAGGTTTAAGAGCCATAAATGCGTAAACGGCAGGCACATAACTTAACCAGGATTCTTCTCCCTGGTCTTACTTGCTGCGACACTGTTGCTTTCTGCAGCAATTACTTTTGCATTCCTCACGCTTTTCCACTCCTACATGGCCCTCTTATTGATGAGGCAACTGTTGCTATCTACTGGGGAGGAAACATCAAATGTGAGCGTGCGCAAACCCTGAAGACATCAGCCGGATTTCACAGAGAATCTCAGTACCCATCACCTCTTTTTGTTAATCCAACCAGTGCGAAGAGAGTTAGGACACAACTGGAATTTCTCAGCATCGGCCCACAGACTTGTAGAATCCAAAACAGTAAAGAGGATGCGGAAATGAGAATAAAACGCTAAAGAAAGCAAATGGATGCGGGGGGAGGGGGATTTACACAGTCGTGAGAGACAAGCCAGACCCATCTGGGTGGCGTTTTAAGACAGGAAAACATTAGAGACACAAGCCAACAACAAAATAAGAGAAGAAAGTAATTGTAAAGACAGACTGGGATGCACAGCTAAACGAAAAAGTAACAAAATGGGAGCGAACATCATCGATAACAACAAAGAATTGACGGTTAAGAACATCCTAGAGCACGATTTGTGTTGTTGTTTGTTGATTCAGTCCTGCAAATGATTAAATAACGACTTTTTCATCGCGTTGAACTGTGACCAACGAGCGTGGAACTACGCACGTCCCAGTTTGTTGTCAAATACAGACAATGGGGTTGGGCAAGCCATAGCAGGCGCAGGGTCTGTAAGGTTTTTAATAACCAAGCACAGAGATCTCAGAGGAAGAAAACAGAGCGAGGGTGAGCGGGAGAAAAAAAAAACATAAAGGGTTGCAGCATGAACTGATGGAACAAAGAAAAAAAATCTGGATTCTATATGCTGAGCGTCAGCATGCAGCTGAACCTAACCATCAGAGAAACGCTGAGTTAAAAGGATGGTGGGTAAATGGTTAGTTGAACGGCCAAAGGCTCCATAACACACATCAATGGCAGCCATGTCACAGAATAAGATCCTGGTCTTATTGATAAATGGCCAGCATTAGAGTTTAAACTTCCTCACTGCGACAGTTATAAGATCGCACCCAAACCAGACATTATCAGATCCTGGAACATTATCTAAATTAGCTACCTGTTGCATGATCTGCCATTAAAGGGCTGAGCTTCTTGGAAAGCCAAATGAAAAGAAAACCACATAAATGAGTATCGCTTTACCCCCTCTGAGCTAACGGCCCATATCGGGCCGAGTTTATTTTTCGAAACGTCAAAATGTGACACGTGAATACTGGCCTCTAAGGCCCCTGTGTTTTCAGTCTAATTGGCTTTATTATTACCGTTGACTTCTTTTTCTTTTTTGCCCAGCTTCAGTTTGCGCTGTCAGCCTCAAACTCTGCGTGCCCCCATTAAAAGCTGCAGCAGAGCACAGGTCCAGGCAAAAAAAAAGGCTCCAGACTGTGAGTAAGATGTAGTGTATGCGTTCTATAGGCACCTCTGCTTAAGAGCAACAGTGAACGATCTCTGTCAACATCATTTCTCCCCCGCCGAGTATCTTCCTTTGGCCTGTTGCCATGGAACAATAGAAAATCCGCTTCTACTTTTGATCTGCCTTTGGAGCACGCACGAGGAATAAAAGTCAGGCTCCTGGAGGGGAAATCATCGCCACTGGCAAGTGTGACCCATTCTGAGCCATTCTGTGATTTTTAATGAGTCGGTCGGCATGGGGTGTGGAAAATGAGTCGTATCCCACGTTGAGCCTTTTGACTACAGGGTTCATTACAGGGCATTACAATAAAGCTCCATCGTAGCACATTAACCCCACTGGGTCTTGCATTGTTGAAGTCGGGAAAAAGAGAGCCTACCACATTTGCCGGACTATCTGGCTCATCGGGGCCGAGTTTTCCGCCCGAGGGGCAATGCAACGCTTTTATTCGAGGTGTCAAAACACAGAAGAATCAAATCCGGAGCTCCAGAGAGTGCGTTTGAGGTTAATCTTGAAATATAGAATGGTGTAAAGCGGGACATTTGTTTGGTGCTCACTGACCTGTGGATCCGGAAAACTGCCGGTGGCAGATGTAAGATGTGGAGAACGGGCAGTAACTGACCTGCACAGCAGTCCAGCGGCTGCTCGCTCAGGCAAATCATGCCAGCGTTGCAGAGCCTTTTATTTCTCCATATAATGAATAACTAAGCGGAGATTTCTGTCGCTGGGGTCATCGTTTGCACAACGAGGGACGAAAAGAACGTCACTACATGCACGCCATTTCTGAAGCATTTGTCTGCCATAACATTTCCGGAAATCCTTTTTTTTTTAAACTCTCAGTTCATTTGGCGTCAGGTTGTTTGACCCCTCAAAGCCTCAAAATATGCAAACAGAATGATCCAAAATAGGATCTGATATACGGACCACTGACCAGTGCATTTAGTAAAGACAGAAATGATTTTGTTTCCAGGAAGCTAACTGAAAGCTACGTCTTTCTCTTGTCTAATGTGACAACAGTTGAAGTTATGTGGCATAACCTTCGGGACTCATATCACCAGATGGCTATAAATATTTGAATGCAATATCCTTAAAATAGCTTAACTAGTTTTAGCGACTTGTATGTTGGCCACAATCATAGCTTAGCCTGAGACAGCTATATATATATATATATATAGCTGTTGTGTACATAAACAATGTTAAAACTCAGAACTAGAAAATTTTCAGCAGAGTCAGTATTTTTTTTCTATCCACCAACAGAACAAAAACCACAGAATTGAAAAAAAAACATTGACAAGTTAGCTCTGTAGGCTCAAAGCAAACGATCCCACACAAAAGAAATGGTTGCATAACAAAGAAAAAAGGGAAAATGGCATATTAGCTGGGATCTATGTATTATCCACAAAGAATAAATGCATGGTCTGTACAGTACTGTTGGATCTGATAAAGCGAGAGAAAACAAAGAATGGATAATGGCATGTAAGTTGTTTTATTAAGCAGACTTTGGAGAGCTAACAGCGAGAATCATAGCAAAAACTGAAAATCATCAGATTCTATTATAAAAACTCATTATCAAGGTCTTCTTTAACTATTAGGAATGATAAATTAAGTAATAAAAAAACATAATACCGTCTTGGTAAGTGAATTTACAAAGACCTAACAGGTCAGTGATTGACATATATATTTTTGCAGCCATAACCGGGTGATAGGTTTAGGGTTAGTGACACTGACAATAAATGTCAGCGAACATATTAAGAACAGAAAAATTAATCTGTGAGGTGCGTTCATTATTACAATCTCACCATCTTTGACTGAATATAACACGGTTGTCAGCAAGAATCTGTGGTTTCCTTTTTTCCTAACCCTAAACCTAGCCTTAACCCTAACTTCTTGCTTTTTAAAGATGCACGGACCCGATCGCTAACTGCAAAAATCACCATTAAAATCCAAAAGGATGGGTAACCTACTTTTAAAGCCATTTAGCGCCACTCGGCTGGGATGGTAAAATCCTCTCCTGCATTGGCACTTGTACTTGTCCAGCACAAATCCATGGCCACTGATGGGGGTGCACTGGAAGGGAAAGGGCAGAGACAAAACAGGTGGAAATCATTAACAAAAACTCAAACTCCACGCACTCAACAAGCAGAAAAGCATAGAACGGGTCAGAGTGGGAGTAAAAGTGGGTTATTTCTCACGCCTGTGGGTTGCTAAGGAAAACTGTTTAGAATAAATGCCCCAGTGGAACCATGCTGGTGAGCTCTGGATGAGCTATTGAAGCACATCTGTGACCTGCATGATCCCAGCTTCCTGGCAAGCTGAGGTGTATGAAATAATATTCCAAGTGACTCTATTAAACCTACATTACTCTGAAATAGAAAGGAAAAGAAAAGAAAACAGGGAAAAAAGTTCAGTCAATCGACTCGGCTGTGTTTGTGAACCATGTACCAGAAAAACAGAGTAATGGTCAGTGATTTTGAATCTGCTCTAATCCTTGATATGAAATAAACTCATAAATATGATATTCTTTATCCCCTTAAACACAGTAAGTCCTCCCCGGAGGATGAAAGAAAGCGGTTTTAAATTGGCAGGTTCTTACAGGAGAAGATGACAATGAAGTTTCTCACTGTATCTGAAATCATTCGATTCCATTGGGTTATGATTTTGAACAGGATTAGTATTTTTGCCTCCAAATCACATCAGTAGGCGCTAAATTATTCAAACTGAATTTCATCTGATTACGTGTGGCTGTTTGTGGTGGTTTAGAGTTTTGCAAATCCATTTAATTTTCTTCTTGTTCAGCCACTGATCGAGAAAAGTTCTCATTACAGTTTGTTTGATTGTTTTTTGCGATGAAAATTCAAAATTCAGCCAAGATCAAATCTTTCAGCCCATTTACTCATAAACTACATAAATGGATAAAAAATAGCTTCACAGCATCCCTCAGATATGAAATGAAATAAATCAGAATGGATTTGAAGTAGAATAAAGATCAAATTAGAGTTGCTGAAAACATATAAAGCCTAACTGTGTTGCCTGTCCTTTTTAAATTTTCATGAATATTTTTAGCATCTGACTCCACTGTATTCTTCACTATGTATTATTCATTGTGTTGGGGCTTCATTTGGTGAGTATGGTTTAAATCTTCATGTCCCCTGAAAGCAGCATTATTACTGAGTGAATCCTGAGTAAAGATAAATGCTCAGAGTACTCATGATTATTCACTTTCCCCGGCCCTTTGAAGTGTTTGGTCTGGTTTAATGAAGTTGTTTCTGTCGTGTTATTGATTCCGCAACATCTCCGACATGCTCCTCTCCAGCGTGAAGCAAACAGGCAACGTGTTCGTGGTCAAGGGGAAACCAACCGGCATTGCCAAGTAACAGGAACCCTAATTAATATCTAAATAAAGAATTAAAGGGGGTTGTTTTCAGAATTCATGAGCCGCTTTGCAATTCCAGCTTGAGTTGCATGAGTGTCGGCCATCTGGAGCCAAGGCGCACTTCAGCACACACATTGGCGGGAGCAGAAAAAACCGAAACGCTCGTGTCGGTGCACGTACTTCGCTCTGCACGAGGCTGCGATAAATTTCACATGAACGCTCATAAATAGCTCACTTCATTGCATGCTCGGTTCAAAATGTCGTATTTCCTTTGGAACGGTGGCAGCGGAGAGCAAAACAACTGCATTTGTACTCATAAATCAGTCACTGATCGTCCAAAAGAAGTTTTGGTCATTGCTTCTGATTAAAGGACACACGTCTGTAGTCCAAAGTGCACCTGAGGGGTTTCAGAGACGCCCTGCCAACATCCTTTTTTATGAAACTATGTATCTTGGTGACCTGAAAGAGCCGTCCTCGCCAAAATATTCCCGACGCACTCCTGCACGGATAGGTTGTTTTTCAAAGCTGACAAACCACGTCTCCCAACTGGGAAGCAGCAAAAAAAGATGTGCTGCAGGGGCTATAAATGTCTGAGCTGAAGTGTAAACGGTTGGCAGGTTATACCAATACAATAAATTGCCGGGGCTTTTTTTTTTTTTCTTTTTTCTTTGGTTTTGAACGGGCAAAGATAAGCAGGGAGCTGTGATGTCTTTCAGATTTAATTCTTTTTGACAAGAAATGTGAACCTTAAACCTCAGGGATTAAAGCTTCCGTTTAAAAAAAAAAAGATTTTCTTCATTTTTCTCATAGGGATTGTGCGACACACAGTTCCAGATGCTCCTTTGAAATCTGAGCTGCAGACAAATGTCACGCTGGCATGACGACATTTGTAAAGTATCGCCAAAAATGGACTAAAGCTTTCAGGAACACTGTTACCATTGGGTCCGTAATTGCCGGTGACATGGTGGCTGTAAAGGTTTTGTGACTTTGGGTCAAAGGGGTTCGTTCTTTGACACCTCATGCTGCTGTCGCTGAGACATTTGTGGGAAGGAAAAGGTTTCTAACGCAAGAAAGAGCCCAATTCATCCTGAATGATTTAAAGAAGATTTAGGGTTTCCAAGTGTGCATTTTGTCTGGTTGGATATGCAACACGATGGCCAGTCATGGTAGAAGAAGAGTAAAAACAATGCTGTAACTCCCCCATTACATTGTTCAATACATTATAATGGCTGTTTCTTTCAAAATGGACTGTTTTCAGTGTAGGCCGTGCACGTTCAGTCAATCATCATACAGTTGGGCCCCCTTGGCTAAGGAAAATTGGCCACATTTTCTTTAATGTGGATCCGAAAAAGAAGGGTAGGTGCTTCCAGTTCGTTTAGTTTTCAGAACTACAGTCTGAGAGTGCCATATATCGGCAAAGCTAATGTTTCCTGTTGCATATACAAACAAATCCTTGTTTTCCAACTGAAATGATCCGACTTCGTGGCATGAATTCATCCAATAAATACAAGTCCCTGTTGAAGCTGAGTACACTCACACCACCGTAGGTGTTTTGTCTCATAGCCAGATTTATTTATGCTATTGTCCAGTGGGCAGATGAGTCATGTTTCATGGTTTGGTGATGAGCGCTCCAAATGCTCCAACCATAAACACCAACGTGTGCTTGTCTCTTGGACTGACTCAGTCCATCAACGGTTTCGAGTCCTTTTTTTTTCGGATTCGTCACATGCGTGAGAGCGTGCTGGTAATCTGTTTAGGCGACATGAATAACAGCCCAGCGGGCGTTTAGCTGCAAACCGAGTTGGAGCGGGCTGCAGTTCACACGAGTCTATTCTCTCAGAAGTTAAGCCTGACTGTTAAATAAAAGTCCGCGCAACACAAGATGGGAGACTGGAAAAAAAAAACTCCCCTAAATCAAAATGAATCTAGGTCTTGGACAAATTCGCTCTGCCTGTTTGATTGGAGGAGCTCAGGACTCCCTGCGGACCGAGGAAGCAGGAGGGATCCAAATTGGAACTTTAAATAACTGCTGAGAAGAAAGTAAGCGAGGCAGGTTTAGACAGACACAGAGAAGCAGATGGGACCGGATCGGTCAGCTTTTAGCTTCACTCACCATGACAAACAATGCACACACATTGCTCCCACAAGAGCTCCATAGATTGAGATGAAGTAAGAGTTTCTTCTCGAGAGTCATTGCCAATCTTTTCTCCCTGGGATTGTGTTAATGTTTCCTGATCATCGACTCAGATACACCAGATTGGCTTCTTTACCCTCTTGATTTCTATGGAAGCAGAAAGGGAGGCCGAGTGCTGTCGTTCATCTGAGGTCGTGTTTACCTCTTTAGGACAGGATTGCTTCACATTCGGACATTAGGTTGACTTTCCCTCATAAAGAGTCCATATGGTACACAGGCTGCCCCCGGTTCCCCCCGGAAGTAGTTCTTTGGCTCTGATTCGTCCACAATTCCACATTGTTCCTCGGCACGAGATTTGAGGCTCAACTTCAGGAGTTTGGGGAGGATAAGTCAGTGACTGCTGCAAGATGAAGTGGTCAGCTTCTGAAATGCCCTCAATGTGAAATGAAGCCCTGAATTAAGGAGGAGCAGAAAATCTCCCATGCTATAGGGAAATAGTGGCTAAAAATATTCCGTTGGTGCTAACATGGAGATGTAGCATGTGACCAATTCGGGTGCTTTTGTGGAATCAGTCAGCTAAGGTTTTGTTTTTCCTTTGTTTTCTATAAAGGTTTACCTTGTTAGTTAAACTAATGCCACTACTGCTGTCAAGATTCGAACCTTACTGTGCAGATGTGTATAAGCCCTTTAAACCCACCAGGGCAATAATTAGCACAGCAAGGCAGAAACTGAGCAATTCTGGTGATTAAGCAGCCTCTCCTCGCAGATCCTAATCCAATAAATACCCACTGCAAGGCTAGCGTTCGCAACTGTGGATGTACAGGTTAGTTCAGAGGAGTTCATTTCTATTCAGAGCACTTTGCTCCTCCGTGATGTGAACAAAAAACACCCGTCAGCCTCATTTGAAAGAGCCTTCGAAAACCAGAGGGTTTCCTGGGAAATGTAAAACTGTAAAAAAAAAACTCCTCCATTTTTTACAGTTTACGTTTAAAGACTTGAGGGTTAACATCTCATTTCTCTATCTTCTCCTTGGCTTTGAGTGAGGTAGCAGGTCAGACTCAACGCTGGGCTGAAGCCTGTAAATTATCATTAAAGCCCGAAGTGAAATCTCGATTAATAAAAGAGTTGAGAAATGGGAAACTTGACACGCCACTGGGGAACTAGAATTGCTCAGTTTCTGGAGAACTCGTCATCATCCTAGAACCCACATCAAGTTCAGTATTTTTCTCAATTTCTTTAACACTGGGGTGCTTTATAAAAAATAAAAAAGTTTACGTAATGTTTAATGTTAAAAAGTTTAACAGCATAGTGCAAAACGTCTCTGTGAGCGTGTGCTATCAGACACACCTGAGTCTTAAAATTATTCCACAAGAGGAGAGAAGCCTGTAATGACAACCAGGGTACGGTGTGTGTTAGGTGGGGGTGAAATACGATGCTTATTTTAGATCTGCATTGGCCTCCGTGCATATGAATGGCTACAAGTGTTATGTTCTCTGTGTTATTGCAACAGAGGAAATCTCAGCCCCTGTTCGGGGATTTAAAGCACATCAAATACGTTCTATGACACGTGACGTCTCCCGTTGTTCTGTTAGAGATTTGACGGGGTCTGTTTCAGGTGAAAGAAAGTGCAGGTGAAAAATGACACATTCCATTTTCACCTCAGCCAACTCCCCCCTGTGTTTGTGCACGTTGTTCCGTAAAAGTAGTGAACGGCCAGACCCCTCTGGACGGCGTAAATGTGGCACCGGAGGTCGATACTGGCTCTGAAACTTAAATTCATGTCGGTGTGCGTAGCCCCAAACTGCCTCAGCACCTCACAGCTCAAAATGCCTTCCATCGCTAGAGCTGCTTTTCCAGCTAAATTATAACCTCCACACACACACACACACACACACACACACACATCGGAGGGGAGGAAATCTGTCAGCTCCAAGGCCGGCCTCATTTTTTTTCTTTTGCTGACATGAAAGGGGTTATGGAACAATCATTTGACAGGTGACAGGTCGATGGATCAGCTTTATCTGCCGGATCAAAATGAAAAAAGCTTAACTACTTTTTCACCCCAACACCTGTCTGGCAGAATGTAGAGCATAACCTCCAAATGCTTTTATACTAACAAACAAGTGGTTCCGTAAGAGTTTTTTTTTTTTTTTACAAAGAGGGACTATGAGAAATGTCGTAGAAGTAAAACAGCACTGGCGATTTGTAACCCGGAAAAAAAGTAGAAATTCACTCCCAAGTCTTAAGTTGTCTTCACTGTCAGGAAGTAGAAGTTTTAGTTCATGTTTATCCTTCAAATAACAGCGATGAACAATCTGCCTATTCATCAATTTTTGATGATTTCACAGCAGCATTTCTTTATTTATATAAAATATGTATTTAGAAAATGTTTTATGTCAAACTTCCCATGGCCGGTTCGCCATTTTTCGAGCAGGAGACTGGACCACGATGAGCTCATGCCAACCCATTTATCCAATAGCGTTGCGGTTAAACATGACGCGTGCACGACTGTTTCTCACTGTCACCAGGCTGTTTTCATTCTGAGTAATTGCAATTGGTTGCTGTGACCGGCCTACAACTGAGAAAGTTCAAAAACCCCCCTGAGCACTGAGCTAGAAAGTAGCAGTTTTCTTACAGATGCCACAACAAAGCACAAAGGCACGGAGCTGTCACTTTGATTGCAGAATGATGATGGAGAGATCCGTCCAAACTACAACAAATTCACTGCATCCAACTAAAAACCACGCCTGCTTGTCATGCTCTTTTTTATCAGCTCATTCTTTTCTTTCTACATTTCAGCTTGAATCCTGCCTGTATTAACTTAATAATTAATTCGAATGACTTATCAATTGTTAATTGTTTAATGAAGTCGTCTTTTCGCTTCTCTAATGCGGATCCTGTGAATCTGCATTCTGGCCCTTCATACTCATGAAGAATGCAGCTGAGATGAGGATCAGTTTGGTTTGGTTTGGTTACTTCAGCTCAGTTGGCCTCATTTAGTTTAGGTATACTGCGTTACAATGTAAATACGAATGATATTTTCAGCTGCAGGATATGCAGATAACGGTTCAAATGCGAGTCGGAAACTGAATCCCTGTGCTTGTTTATGCTCAACTAGGCTCAGAACCGGCCTTGACTCTCTGCACATGCCCAATGCATTCTGTTCAGCATAAAGGAGAAAGGGAACTGGCAAACAACGAATGCTTATCGCAAGCACATCGAAATCTGGGATTTAAAATCAGACCAATAAGACAATCACTTTAGACACTCTCAGACTGGCAAAATAACCATTCTGGTAACCTGGAAAAAAAGATCGGTGCAATGAATTTGACTATTAACGCTGATCTCCCGCATAGGCATTTGTCAATAAATTGGTTTCCCACACGGGCACATGTATTTAAGGACAATTCATGGATGTTGAAATGGAACCACAGCTTTTATTAATTTTGCACGTGACAGGAGGGAAAGGCTCCAGCCCCCATGTGAGCCTGACTTTGATCAGGTGGGTGCAGAAAATGGATGGAAGTCTGTCCAACAGAGTGTTACTCCACTGAAAGAATATTCAATTAAAATATTGGTATGAAAGAACACATCCAGCGAATCGCTGTAGATAGCCTCATTTGCATGTTGCTGACTTAACTGAACCCAAGAAAAGGTAAATTGACGCTCCCCAGCTTTCGGTCAACAGCGGCAAACCAGCCAACTAAGAGTCATCGTTTGATCAAATTCCAGGACACTAATTGACAAGTAGGCACTCTTATGGGTTCATTCTGAAATCCGGCCTGCTAACTAAGGCTTCACTTGTGAAAACAACAGCAGCGGTATCTCCTGACAGCTTCGATGCTGCAAAACTTTCCGTGGAAGAAGACACAATTACCTCTCAAAGAGTTTTCACCCTGAAAACTGTAAATATATATATATTTTTTTTTACATTTCCACAGAGCACCGTGTTACCTGTTTCCGTTTTCGCACCGTGCAGTTCGATGCAAAGCTGTGAACACGACACCATGATAGAAGTTGGCCCAAGACAAAAAACAGGCAGAGAGAGAGAGAGGGAAGGAGAGCACTCAGCATCCCTCAGAGATCTATAAATACACTGAAAGCATTAAACCCTAAAAGCATTACCTCTGTCCCTTGGGGAAGGGGGGAGAAGATGCCTGCTGTTGTTTCATAAGACTGTACTGACCACTGAAACATAGTATTCGAGGCCGGGATGAGTCGGGCTCTAGCCTAGTCTGGAATTCCTTCATCAATCTTTGAGGGAAAAACTGGGATGTAGAGCCAGTTATTGATTCTGGGCTTGACTCGTTTGTGGAGTCGTCAGGAGAGTCATAAACTGTATCCCCCCCCCCCCTCCCTTTCCTTCAAGAACATTAGCCGAGGAAATAGCAGCGATAGAAAAAATTGGCGGTTTGGATTTCTATTGCAGCCTCCAATTGGCTGCGCAACCCGAAGGAAAAGCGCGAAGAGAGGGAAAGGCAAGTCTCGACTGGCATTTGACGAATGCTGAGATGAACCCGGCCCCCCCGCACAGACAGCTGGGTGGGTGGTCTCCGGCTCCCCGCGAGGACTTATCTGGGAGGCCTCAGTCAATTAAGATCTAACTGCTGCCGCCGACTAGACAGGCTCTTGCATCACGCTGCTAAGCTGCGGGCCGTAGATTAGAGAGGGAATAGTGTTTGTCTGTTGAGGATGAATCCTCCCTGATGACCGTCCCTCACCACTGTCACTACTCATCCTCATCACGCCCTCCCCGGTCTTAAAGGCATCCTCGTTGTACTGCTGTTCCTCCTTAATTCAGTTTTGGCATAGAATTTTACATAATCAAAACATTATTGTGCATTTGCTTTTAATAAACTGAAGCCGTGTTTATTTTCTTTTGATTTTATCAATTTTTATCTTTTACCGATTCATATATATATACAGTGGTGGAAATAAGTATTTGACCCCTTGCTGATTTTGCCGGTTTGCCCACTTACAAAGAATGCAACGATCTATAACTTTAATCATATGTACATTCTAACATTGAGAGACAGAATCCCAAAGAAAATTCCAGAAAATCACATCATATGAATTTATAAAAAATGATAACCATCTGATGAGGAAAAATAAGCATTCTTTGTAAGTGGGCAAACCTGCAAAATCAGCAAGGGGTCAAATACTTATTTCCCCCACTGTAAATGTTCATGTGAGTACCGCTGCCATTCCAGCAGCTATTATTCCCTGTAATAATTCTATATTTAGAAGTTTTTTGCCCTTAAAAATACATCCGTAGCCTGTCTTCCTCATTCAATGAAAGGATATATCCAACTTTACCCATTCATAATAAGCTATAAATCCCCTGTCCTGCAGTGGATGCTTGCATTTGCTTTTTTATTTTTATTTCATCTTCTCCTCCATGCACATGTCAAAAAGCTGCACAACCCCACCCCTCGAATTCCCTTGGGAGGATCATTCAGTCTTCAAAATAGGAACCTGTCTGTTTGAGGCTGACAGTGATGCTCGTGATTCGTTTGCGTTGTGTGTTGTGACACAATAAACGTCTCACGTACGCACGTGAATAGTCGCAAAAGGGGAACTTTAAATCGACTCCCGAACAAGGCGAGGATTCTTAAATACACACACCCGGTGCCAGGTGGCGTAAAGAGGAGCCAAGCCCAAAAGCATTTCAGGCTACAGCCGTAGAGACTCGCTCCTCTGAGGAGAGACGGGGAGCCGCTGGCAGAAAAGAGCAAGAGAGAAAACTGTTTATTACATCTTTTGTCTCCTCTGCTTAGAAAGTCGCTCTTTTTAAAAACCCACTTGAAATAAGATTTAGAGGCAAAAGAAAAAAGAAAAAAAGGAAGATTCACCTCTTTCCGTGACAAATTTAGTATGACAACACAATAGAGGAACTCCATATCAAGCACAACTGAATATCCTCTCCGACTCCGATCTGCTACAGTTTCCTATTCAGCTGGATACTGTACTCCTTCACTTACATAAAGTATTGATGCTGACTTTCAGAGTTGTGGTTAAATCATCCTCTAATCCAGTTACGACGAGAGCCCCAGAGTGCCATCGGAGAGGCGTTTATAGAGACTTATATTCATGCGCTTTTCTTAAGCTCCCACTGTTTGTTTCCTTGCAACCGAGCAAAGAAGACCACATCTAATTACTTTTTTCAGATTGCAGGGGGCTTCTGCATCCCTGTAAACCCAAACTGAGCTCCAGATAGAGTGAAAATGCTCCTTCTGTCAATGCTGCTCAGAATAAATGTAAAGAGTGCAGGTTTTAAGAGCCCACGTGATGAGATGTAGCTGGTCGCATGTCTTATGGATACTTCACGTGATCCAAAATAGAAAAACAAAAAATAAAACAACAGAATGGCGTGCTGGCAGATGGTCTGATAATCTCTTACAAGTATTCCTGTCCTCCTCTGTGGATCTGATTGGCTTTTAGAGACTGAAGGTGCAAATAAGAAGTGAGGGTGGTCAAAATGAAAGCGAAAAAATCGAAAAACAATGGGGTACAAGTGAAAGGCGTGCAGGAATCGGAGAGCATGTGAGGGAGCATCAATAGAGACCGAGGGAAAAGGTGCAGAAATATGAGACGGCCAAGTGCTGCTAAAAATGAAGAGAAAGCCCAGAGGAGAGACAGAAGGGGTAACCCTCTTTGGCTGTCACAGCATTTTACACTCATTAGTAGAGCTCTGCCTTTGAAGCCCCTTTATCTCTACCAGCATGTTTCAGAGCACTGGCTGGGAAAACACATGCATGCAGGCAGATACATGCAAATAAACCGCACACATGTTCACTTCTATCCCGAAATAAATAAATCAAAGCACGCGAGCGTGCTCGGGAGCACGCAGCCGCAAATCACCTACACAAAATCATCAACCTCAAGTCCTCGTCTAATTATATAAGCCGTGGATTCTTACATAAGACGCTTCCCCCTTCGCCTGACTATCCATAATGCATGAAGTCTTGTATTTGGTTCATGGTGACACATCCCTACCTTCCTCCACAGCTTCGCTGTCTCCGGGCAGACCAGGAAAAAGACCAAGAAACACGTCTTGTGATGGTTTACACTGGCGTTTTGATGGCGATCGCCGTTGAAACCCAGATTCAGTGTGAACAGTAAAAGCACTCATTTATTTATATTCGTAAATTATATATTTACACTGCGTACAAGAGTAATTTGGTGATTATTTCATTTTCACTGGTGTCAGTGTATTTTTGACATCCACAGCCAGATTTTGAGTTCAGCGCTTAAAATTTTAATCCCAAGTGTTGAGTTTTAGACGAACCTAGAAAAAAAAGGGAGATTTGAAAAAGTAAAGGACTGCGAGGGACTCCTTCAAAAGTCCACTCAAAGACTTCTGGAAAAAAAGCCAAAACACTGTGTGCAGCAAAAACCCACAACAAACAGAGGAAAAGCTGAACATAAGCTTTAACTTGGAGCCCTTTAACCTTCTTAGACAGCTTCTTATCTTGGAAAAAAAGCTAAGCAATATGGGCTCCAGCATTATCCCTCTCTTTGCGATATGCTCTCTCGCCTCAAAACTGTGATGCGTTTGTGGGAGGAAAACTTTGACAGTATGCTTGTGTTGTACTGCACACCGTGGAATCATATCTATTAGCACGTGAGGAGCATTGAGCATCGGTTCAGAGTGGGCTGTCAATATGTCAAGCTGTGGATTGACGTGTTGAAATTTAAAAGCAGTTCTAAAGCCGAACAACCATCTTCGCTTCAAACTGAACCAAACTAAAGTGACTGATATTTCAAATCGAACCAAACAGCCAGGCAAGGGAGGTGAAAGCAAAAGCTGCAAGTTTTAAATGAACCAGGCCTCTCTCTCTTGCATATTCAAATTCAATTCAAATAAATAAAGAAAAGCTTTATTTATCCCAGAGGGAAATTAAATGTTGATTTAGCTCATTTAGTTAAGGAGTTTATATAAATTGTGATGGCTGTGGGCAGGAAAGATCTTCCACACCGGCCCGTTTTACAACCAATGTGAAGAAGCCTGAAGAAGACTCTGTTTTTTTGTGTTTTTTTTATTGTTGTTGGGTTTTTTCAAAACCTCAAAAGGAGTTTGTGGCATTTTCTGGTGATGTCCAAAAGTGCAGGACATGCCTGCATCAGAAAAAAGCTGCAAAAGATGTCTTTTTTTACATGGATGAACCCACCAGAATGAGTGACACGTGTGGCATTATCTGTGGATGGTGTCCAAAATGATCAAGGCAACAAGAAGAACTTATGCCTGTGTTTATAGGACAAGTACATAACAACAGCTTTTAAACCTAAAACTCCCCATCAGTCACTTAGAACTGGAAAAAAAACAACTATTTTCCTCCTATGCTGTGCAGACTTGAGGCCCCACTGTCTTTGACAACATACCAAATCAAACTTTAATTGATTTATAAGGTTAGCATAAACTTGAAAAGCAACTGCCTGAGCAGAGGTCGCTCAGAGTCGGGTTGGGTTATTTTAAGGAACCGTCCCAGTGGACTCGTTCCGCACTATGATTCCCCTGCGAATGCAGGCAGAAAAACAAGCGCCTGAATTTAAAGTTGACCAGCATTGTTTTTAACAAGCAAATCAATCTGTCCAAATGGAAGGGCCCGATGGAAGCGTAAATCCATCTCTCCTGAGTAGTTAGACCTGTGTGTTTCCTGCCTTACCCGTCCTCTGTAAACAATTTTTTCATGAAGGTAAATGTTCTCTGCTGAAACATTTACACGAGAATAAAAAAACGGGGAAATATTCCCTGATTGCCTCACGGTTTAAATCATATAACATCAACACAGAGGGCCACAGATTTAGTTTACCGCTGGAAAATCTCTCATCCGTCTCCTGTCAGTTGAAGGAATAAATCTCAAACAAAGCCGCCGTTTAGCACCCGCCCAGCGCCAAAAGATGAGCAAAGAGTTCTCATAAATCTACCCGAGGTCATAAGCTTCAGTCCAGTCAGTCAAGGATGAAGTCCGCCAACCTTGTCTGAGGATGTTCTGGACGAATAGGATAAAAAGTTCAGTCCAGATGGAGTTGCTTTGTCAAATAACTGTGACACGTCTTTCATTTTGGAACTATTGCACATTCTTTCAAATTTCTCCTCTTTGTTAACAAGCAAAAAGGAAAAAAAGAAGAAGAGTACAGTCGATAAGCCACAAACTGGCTGTGACTGTTACAACGTGAAGGAAAGTACAAGTAATTCTGGAGACCACATGATCCTCAATTACATTACAAGAGTCTTATTATTGTGTTACTCCAGGACTACGCCTCGGGGTACGCTAGTGCTGCGAGGAGAGAGCAATGAGTCTCACACTGACACTCATTTCCCCAAAAACTGTATTTAGCTAAACCCCCTTATGTTCTTTTTGCGGTAGACTGTACCACTGTTTTTTTTTCCCCGAAGTCTCTCGACAGCAACGCGCTCCAGTCTTGATTTGAACGGGAAAATTGAGGTAATGTCCCAAAAGGGCCTCTCTAAAATATGGCCAATAGACTGGCTAAACAGCAGCGCTGAGCAGCCGATCGCGTCGAGCAGTGAGTAAGCTTGGAAAAAGAAATAAAAAGCATCCAAGCGCAGAAGAGTCGGTGCGAAACGGCAAATGGGAGAGCGCGAGCAGAAACTAAACAGGGGGACTAGACATCTCACACTCAGAAACATTTACAAACCACTCTGAGCCTCCCAAAAAGCCTCGAGTTTTTCTGCCATATCCAGTCTCATTCGTGAAGAGGGGGCAAATCTTTTTCTCTCTTTCCTTTTTCATGGCATTTAAGAAATGCGTCCCTCAAGTCCATTGGCTCGACAAAATTCTAACAACCCCATCACTTCTGTGTAAAACTGTGAGATGATCCTCACCTGTTGTTATCCGAGAGCTCCACGCAGAACGCCTGTCACACTGGATTTTTGATCCAAGTGTGTTACAACAGCATATTAAGATTTTATATTAAGATTTTCAGGCCTGGATGTTACTGGTTGATCATCAAAGAGGATTCTGCATTGCTCTGAACGGCCTTCATTTTAAAAATGAGCTCAGATTCAATTGAGATTAAGAGCAGGCCAGAAAAATCAGTTCTGTTTTTTTTTTTTTAACCTCATCGCAGTCACACCTTTTAATTCTGTGTTGTTTTTTCGGCGTCTTAATTCCTGCTACCCACACAGATCCATTTCATATGGCCAGAGATAAATACCACAAAGATGCGAATCATCGGCTGTGCTTGACCATAGACGGCGTGAGATAGAATTTAATCAAAGAAAACGCAGCGGTGGAAGGTAAACATCGTCGCAAATTGGAAGACCCTGTTTGTTCTGAGCTTCCAAGTTTGTTCCTGGGGATGGGAAAAACAACGAAAAACAAGAGAAACGAAACCAAACGTCCACGTGGGCAGAATCCCAACACAAACACCCGCCAACAGAACACCCAACCTGGATAATTCAAAGCATTTCATCGCCTGTGCTCAGACATGGGCAGCCCAGAATAGCCTTGGTAAGTGAAAGCCTGTCTCCGTCCATCACGGTGATGATAACACAAAACACAACACCATCTGCACACACAGAGGAACAGAAGTACAGTACCCTCAGCAACACCAATCACACCAGACAGCGGCAACCAGAGAGTTGTTTTTCTTTTTTTTTAAATGGATCAATGTGGACGGTTACATGGCGAGGAATATGGAACCCCCCAATCCTTCCCATGACATACAAAGAGTGGGGAGGCACACAGACAAAGAGCGTGGTCCATTATTCATGTCATATTGCTGCAATCCATTACACTACATGTATTATACATCATAATGCCAATGACATGCCGTGCAAGCCTGAGCAGCCACTCTCCCCCCAGTCACACACATTCCCCCGCCAAGCATCACATTAAAAAAACGAACGCACGGGCACAGACGTGTAGGAGAAGGCACAAGGGAGCCGTCCTTACATGCAAACAGCACTCTAACTGACACAAAAAACTACACGTCCATCTCCTCCCCCTGCAGTGATCACTCTGAGTTCTGAAGCCTGGCGCACATCTTCTGCCGGTTTCATCAGAGAAAATGCTGATCGCACACATCATCCACACAACCGCTCACAACTGCAGACAATAACCCCGCAGGACGCCACATACAGATGTGGAGAGCGTTTTGTTTTCCCGCGCATTTTATCGAAGGATTGCAACTGCCTCCTAGTTTTTTGGGTTTGAGATCTTTGTGTAGCTTCTCCTCTCACGCCACAATAGAAAAACGAATGGTCAACAGGATTGAAATGCTTTTCGTCCAGTGCCATCATGGCGTCCCACAACATCCCGCTTAACCATTTGCTAGAGCATGTTTTTCACTAAATATACTCGGCCACTGGATACACTAGAGGAAGTGCACTTACCTAAACTAGCTCTAAGATTAAGTTTAGTTATTTGATCCCTACATGAAGCATGAGCTTTGGGTTTTCTTTTCTTAAATTTCACACTTTAACAGAAAGTTTCACCTCAACTGTCTATGAAAAAAACATTGATTCTGGTTGCTATTGGTCCACTGAAATGGAAAAAAATGCAAAAAAAATGTTTTTTCATCATTTGTACTAAGTGTAGACGTTAAAGGGTGAGAATATGAGAATAACCTGTTTGGCTGGTGAATATGAGAGTGGGGAAAGCTATCAGTTTGTGTTTTAGTAGATTCTCTTACCAGAGAAACTGGGTTGAAATGAAATCAACAGCAAAATGTCAAGTGAAGCTTTGTGAATAATCAGGGCATAGAGTGGAACTTTGCAATTATTTCATAAAACGCTGTAATAATATGCCTCTAAAATCAGTTTATAGTTTTACCTTTAGGATGAAATGGCAAAGAAAAGCATGATATCTTTTTCTTTTGGTAAATTAGCATGTCATGATTTTCTATTTTTCTTGCTTTGGGTATTTTTAACCAATATACACTTTTGTTGTTTATCCTATTTTGATGGAAATTGGACTCCTGTGCCATTTTGTGTGCATTTAGCTCAGAACACCACCGTGAGTAAGAATGACCTTTTAAAGTCCACTGTGATGGCTAAAGTCTCCTCAAGTCTCCCATTCATTTAAGAGGATGGATGAGCAACTTGACAGCTTTACTATTAGAGCTAACTGATGGTCTCAACTAAATGAGACAGACACGATTGCAGGATGTAGGAGGGCTCCTGTCTTATTCAGTTCTCTGATCTTACTTTGACTTTGCCTGGCACTTATGGGAGTTAGTTGGAAGAGCACTTATTGGGGCCGACAATCGCAATATTAAGAGGGTTTTAAGAACCCCTTGACAAATGATGAAGGTGTACTCTCATTTTGTTTATATCGCATCACATGGGAAAAGATGCAGGCCAGAATCAGAGCGTAGAAAGAGGAGACTCACCTCCATGCTTGTGAGGTTACAGCGATGGGTTCCAGCAAACCAACCCGTGTCGGAACACTGGTCAATGTCCACGTCCTGCAGGTTCACATCCACACGGACAACGCCCCTTTCAGACAGAGAGATGGAAGGCATAGCAGGAGGAGAGAAGGAAGGAAAGGGAGGCAGAGGGGAAAAGGCCAAGAAAATTATTAGGGGGCTGAACGATGGGGAAAAAAATTTTAAAAAGGAAATTCAGAATCGCATTTGGGGAAAATGTTACCAGGCAGGAAAAAAATAAGAATGTTAGAAAGAGAAAAGGGGAAATGTAAAAGAGGTTGGGTAATTTAATTATTTTATGGGCAAACGTGGAATGAAGGGAGGGAGAAAAGAGGTTTCAGGGTTGTCCGTGCAGTAGAGAGAATGAAATGGAACAAAGAACAATGCTCACAGGAAGTCAGGTCAAATGTGTTTGAAACAGCCCTGTGGTATTTGTCTGTGTGTGTGTGTATACGTGTGTGTGTGTGCGTGTGAGAGAGAGAGACAGAAAGGTAGATAATGTGTGTGTGAGAGTTTGTGGAGAAGAGGGTTGAGTGAAAATAGGAAACAAATTAACAATGATGGGGGTGAGTAATGCGAAGGAGCACAGAAGTCAAGAGGGAAGGATATTTTCCATTTAGTTGGGCTACTTCTTTAGATGTGCTATTTTTCATAATTCACATTTATTTGTTGTTTTTGTAGTACTTTGCATCAGAGTTCCAGTTTCTGATTCACTGCATTCTCTTTGTAATTTGTGTACGCTCCTTTGTTTAAAACAGGAATTATATGAAACATCACATAAATGTCTGGATCCTATATTCACTCTTAAAATTTGGCAGACCTTCCCTCAGTGAATCCTTTTCTAAAGTATATCATTTGTGTTGCCTAAATTTATGGTTTATAAGCTTTTCAAAGAGTTTGAATAAAAAAGAATAAAAAGGCTTCTGGACTTCATCTTGGATCTTGAAGACGTGTGGAAGTCGAGTTTTGGTTAAGCTGTTAAAAATGACCACAACATGAATGACATGTACACATATTTTTCCATCTTTGAAAAATTCTATGCAAATTAACCTGTAGACAAACTCCCAGAAATAACAATGGCATTAAAGATAGCTTGAAGTTTAATACTTTTCTTTCAGTATTGGTTTTCAAGCCTCTGTCCCTTTTAATCTGTAAAAGCGACTTCAATTAAACATATTTATTGTGTTCTTCAACAAATGACCCCTCCACATGGAACACTTTCAACCAATAAGGGTGTGATGGATTGTAGAAACCTGTTCTACTAACTCCTTACTCCGTTTGTTCAAAAAATAAACCTTGAAGACAAAGGAGCTGGAGATGAGCCTCACAACAAAAAGTATATAAAGTCCATCATTTTCTTTGTTATGGGGTTGCAAAAAGGTTCTGTTGTAGCCGTTTGCAGTAATTATTTCTAAAGGCGATCCCCTCATGAGCTTGTAATGTTTTGCAGAATCCAGAAGGGCGCTGAGTCGTCAAAATGGACGTTAATGCTTTATTGTCATTCCCATTAATTGTTGATAATCCCATTGATTCGCTTTGCTGTGTAAGTGTACAGACATGTCAGCAGGTTAAAGGTAAACAGAACTCGATTATGATAATGATGATAGACTAAACTGACACTCGCCTTTTTGAAAGCATGACTGCACAAATCCATACAAAATCAAACTACATGCAGGATACCATGAATACAGGGACGATGACTGTTTAGAATTAGTATTTTAGCAATGCTAACCTTCAAAAATGAGTAAAAGACTATAGAAATATACGGCAATGGCTGATTTTATCAGATTTTTTCGAGGTTAGTAAATGATAAAATTCAACCACCTGATGAACAAAAAGCACTCAGTGGTGTCTGTATGTCTCATGGACTCAAAACTTTTATAAAAAGACAGGTTTTTTTTAGGTGTGTTGTTTGGTTTCTAGGTCTAGGTTGGTGTAACTTCAGCCGCCACGCATTTGGATAAGAGCAAATCTTCATTATCAGAATCAGAATCAGAAATACTTTAACAGTCCCAAAGGGGAAATTATTTATGTATTATTTTTATGCTGCCTGAACCATGACAGAGAGATGACTGGTGACCAATGTGGCAATGAGTCATCACAGTGTTCACGCCGTGAGGTGAACAGGATTAGATTATGCTGCAAATGACAATAAAGAAGAGCTCTAGTCGGGAGTCAAACTTGTGAATCTGGGTTCAGCTCAGCTATTCCTCCACATCCAAGCTTGGTTTCTCCAGCTGCCCGGGCCTCACACGCTCTCTCATTACAGAAACGCTCACATGGAGGATTCTTGGCACCTCTTTCATCACCAATCCCGTCCATTTCTCGCCTGAGCAGAAAAGCCTGAGCACTCGCAGGCGTTCGGTCCGTCCTTTGTCGAGTTTCTGCCTGGAGAGAAGCTGTTGCAACCACTTCTGATCGGAGTAACGAGCAGATAGAGACAGAAATGGGGAGGAAAAAGGCGTCCACGCCTTCAAGTGTCAGGCCCGGGGTCATTTCTGTCTTTCAGAGGTGTTGGATGTCCAATTTGGGAGCCATCAATTGCAAGCTGAGGGACAATATCTCGAAGCAAAGCGAAGCCCTGCTATACTGACATTAATCACATTGCTGTTTTTTATTTTATTTTAATCAGACACTGGGACCTCTCTCAGTTTACTCATTGTTATCAACACCTCGGTTTATTCCCTCTTCAAGGCGTCTGCTTCGTTAGATTTGTTTGCTTTATCCGTCCAGGATTTTGTTGTGTTAAATTGTCGCTCGTTGCACCTCAAACCAGAACTACCGAGCGAGTTCGGCAGACTGAAAGAAATAATCACATCAACCTGAAAGTCCCCGCTGAATGTAAAGTAATCTGTTGGGCACCGCGCCTCCGGGCAGTCGTCCTTCCTCCCTCATTACCTCCACATTCCGGCTCCAAACCCAGAATTGTCACTTACATTCTGATGAGGCCCACAAGACCCGTATGTAAAAAATCATTGTTATTATGTTCTGAAGTTGAAGGGACTCGGGGAGCAACATAAAAAAAAAATAGCTAAGACACGACACATACGAGGAAAAAAAAAAAACATGGACATGCCCACAGACTTGTGCTTTCCGTCCAAAACAATCCAAATTTCTATTCTTAGGAATCGTTTTACAGGACTTGGTTTGGCAGAAGAAGCAGCAGAACTTCAGGGACTGCAGAAAAATGGAGCGGGGAGGAAAGTGGCACGAGTTGGTAGTTGGTCTGTGGCTGTTTTTACTTTAGCACAAACTGTACAATCTGCTCCTGATCAACTTTATATGTGTGTGTGTATGTGTGTGTGCTTTGTCCCAGCTTGATTTCACCTGGCCACTTCAGACAGATCCCAGACTGCTCCACTAAAAAGAAACAAATTCAATTTTTTGGGGGCTTTTTTTCCCCCTCCGACGCTTGACAAAGCAATTTCGATTATAAAAATGAGCCGGTAAAACTGTCGCTTCATAATGACAATTCAGTTGATTTATTGCCGCTCTGTACTCTCTTTACACACCGCTCTGCATACACAAATGGGATTTAATGCATGAGCTGTCTGACTTCTCAGCTTCTAAATGCCAAAAAACTCCCAGCGAGTTGTAAGATGTCATAATCATTTAAATTAAGTTAAAATTCTCCTGGCTGAGCTGGAATGGTCGATTGATTTCCTTCATATAATCAAACTTAATCTTCTCCGATGCCTGAAGCAACAAATATAAGCGGCTCTTTTATTTCTCCCAGCTGGTTAAACATCTTCATCATCACATGTCCGTGGATTTATCGGCTAATATTCCAGGCAGACAAGTAATCATTTGTGGAAATAAGCAAGTCATCGCCGACAGACTCTGCTGGAATGACAAAATAAAACCGCAACGTGCCCTGTGGGAGAGGCACTTAACCTTTGAGCGGCTGCTTTAATTGCATGTCAGATTTTCTAAGAAGAGCAAAATTGAGGATTGGGATGATATTGATTCGAGCGAATGCCCCGGTACCATCAGCCATCCCTGTCAAGTCCGGGCTCCGCACAGTGGTAGCAACCAGAGTCCCCCTCACAACCCGGAGCAGCTCTTTGGTCTTGTTCCCCGCAGCGGGGAATGATGGAGCACTTTGCTCTGGGAGCAGATTAGCCGCGTGGAGGGATGCCAGGCTGAACCACAAATGACACCCGAGACACACCGCGGCCTGCAGACATCTGACCGCGTCCAGAGGTGGCCTACTTAGGTCGCCCCTCACATGTCTGTGTGTTTACGGGAAAACGGAGAGTAAATTAAGGCGAAAATGTAGCTTTTACAGTTCCAACTACCTTGAAAGTCGATATTTGGTTTGAGAACCATTCTGAACTGTTTACAGAGACCTTATTATCTTATAAAGGAGTTATTTTGGAGGACATTGAGCTGATATGTGTCAATTTATCTGTCACTAGCTATACAGGACATATAATTTCAAGTCAAGGAAAATTGTAAAATCTATTTCTTTTAAAGTAACTGGAAAAAGAAATTGGACCAAATCATGTGTCTATGCAAAAGGTTATTTGTGATGGCCAAATAGAAGATATCATTTAAAAGCTATTCTTTTATGTTTCTCAGTTTAGGCTCATCCCCTTGAGTTAGATTCCGCTTATTATGCAGAGTCTGAAATTGATCAGGTTGAAGTTATGGACTGAAAATGAGTGGAATAGCCATCAGTGTCCAAACAAAAACATTGAAAGTCTGCAGTACTGTCATTCAGGGACATTGTAAAAGATTAGAAGAAAATTGGTGAAATACGGTGAAATAGGACAAGAGAGGTTGGCTCATGGTGTTTGCGCATTCATTCATTCATTTCAGACAATAATCGGCTTTCTAAAAACTTCTTTTTTACATGCCTTTAAATTCTAAATGATGACATCAATATACTGAAAGTGACACATGATGTAAGTCTGTATGACTGTTTTAACCATCAGTGGCTTTAGTTGATATTTCATCCTTTATTCATGACTGTATTGACCACTTCAGGAGTGTGAGCTTGGAATATGAGATCCTTGGGTGTTGTTGTGCACCTAAGTGCTGCCCCCCCTTTGCCCCCACTCTCCACGGCCAGCCTGGACACCCATTAGAAACACATTGTGTAAAGCTGGTTCTGTTCATTAGATTTGAGAGGCTGACTCGTTAAACGAAAGGTCTGTAGCCCTGCTGGCGGAGGCGTTTTTACTCCACCTCGTTCTTACAGGGTCACAGTTCTGTGGGTTCTCTGTTTACATCAAGTCACTGAATCCCTTTAGTGCAATTCTGGTATTTATTGCTATTATTCTATTAAGTTCTGCTACTGAACTTCATCCATCAGTCCTGGTATAATCAACACATTAGGAGGTTGATTATTCCTTGATGATTATTTAAGAAATATGCCCAAAAATAGAAAACACGCAGACATGAGAGTCAATTTCTGCTAATGAACAGATGTAAGTTGGTATAAACCATCAATAACATTTTTTAAAAAGGTGGTGGGCTGAAGGATAATTGATGAGTGACTGATGATTGGATGAAAAATAAATGGAAACTTCTGGATCTGCTGTCTGGTGCAGGTCCAGTGAGACCTATGAAGCTGGATTCCAGAGGAAAACCAGCTCTGGCCTTATTATCAGACACATGGGGTTGATCAGGTGGAGGAGTGGAAGTGGAAGTCATTACCCCAACAGTAAATTCACAGCTGGACAGAATGATTATGTATCAATCTGCAGAGAAAGGGGTGTTCAAGCTTTTCTTAAAGAAAATGTCAGTAGATCTCAATCAGCAAAACTATACAAAAGCTGATCTGTCAACATGCAGTACTACAGGAAAAGTTGAACCTTTACTGGTTCTCCTTCAATCACTCAATCCAAGCTGTCACAAAAGTCCCTTCCAGTTCCCCTCCCGTTTCCCTCTCACCTGAACTCCGGCGCCGAGTTGCTCCTCAGTCCGTAGAAGCCTGCAGACAAGGTGAGAAGCCAGTGGGGCACGAAAGCCCCGTGCTCGCACTCCAGAAACGGGGCCGACCACTTGATCTGCTTTTTGTTCAGAAAGTAGTTTCCTCCGCCGGGGTCCGACCCCTCCGGGACCCTCCTGTGCAGCTGAGGCCTCCCGCCGTCCCTGAAGTCGTTAAACCAGTCGGTCTCCGGGCTTCTGCCGCTCAACTGGCGGTGCGCGGAGGCGGAGAGGTCCCGCAGCACCACCTCGCCCCCCGCCCGCGTCCCCTGGAGAAAGACGTGCGGCCCGGGGGTGGGCGCGTCGGTGTGCAGGGTCACCACCGCCCTGTGGATTTTGGGGTCCCCTTGGAGGATGCTCTGGACCAGCGCGTGGTACCAGTGGACGTCCCTGCGAGCGGTTTGCTCGCGGGACCTGTTGGCTTGGAGGATCGTGTTGAGGAAGTTGGTGGCGTGCGCCACGGTGTCCAGGACGCTGTGCAGGGAGTAGTGGGAGGCGACGTGGAGGCCGCCCCGCAGGCTGCTCAGCTCGTACCTCCGCGAGCAGTTGACCTGCCTCAGGGCCGAGGAGTCCCCCGTGTGCAGGAAGGCGGTCACCACGCGGGGCAGGTCCTCCTCGATCTTGTGCGCGACCACCGCGCGCTCGGTGGCCGGCGCCGGGTAGCGGGTCGGGCGACGGGGCGGCTCCCTCGGAACGTTTTGGGTGCTGAACACCGGCGGGTGCTTGTCGTCTCGGTCGTTGTCCGACCACTCCACGTAGCCGTAGTTGGACCCCAGCACGAGCCCCGTGTGCAGAAGCAGCGGGACGACTAAGAGGGCCATCATTTCCGTCTCACAGGCGCGAGGGGCACGCCGCGGGCACTTGGCAAAGTGGGGCGATCATGACCGGAGCCGCTCTCTTCTTTCTGCTGCTTCTGCAGGCGGCCAGAAGCGATCCAGAAAGCGCACGACGCAGAATTTCCTGGATTTCATTGTTAAGCTTGAGATCGGTAGGAATCCCCCTTTTTTTTTTTTTCATCCGAGCATCCTGTGTCCGCGTGCTCGGACTTTCACTCAAACCTCCGTTTCGTTTTTTTGTTTTTTTTATGCCTGGAGAAAATCAACAACAACAACAACAGATGCATTCAGTTTCCCAAACCCTCCCTCCCTGCCCCCCCACCCCACCCCACCAGTCTCCGAACTCCGACAAAAAAAAGCGACCCCCTGACTCCTCTCCGATCCGCATTCCGTTCACAGCCCACCCGGCGAAACCCCACGGATGCGGCGCGTCTCCTCGCGTGTGCGCGGCGACATTCTCCGGGAGAGAGGAGCCGGGATGAAGATGGGGGGGGGGGGGCGGAGGAAAAAAAAAAAATTGTTGTTGAAGTTCTGCCCCTCCCCTAGTGAAACCCCCTAATAGGACGTCTGAAGTGTCGCCCACCGGAGCAGTGTGGCCGCTCCTCACTGCCAGTCCGCCGGCGGTGGGAGGAGCGTGGGGGAAACCGGGGGGGGAGCTGTCCGGTGCTGAAAGGGCCGCCCGTGGGAGGGGGAGCCGAGAGGGCGGAGGTGGTGATGAGGAGGAGACGTGTTTGACGAGGGAGGAGGTGGGAGGTAGCGATTAGCCTGAATCTATGGGGGGGGGGGTGGGGGGGGGGGGGGGGGCATATTTGGGTCGTTCATTGATCACGCACAAGAAATTACGCAAACGAGTAAATTCCCAGTAGGAGCAGGAACCTCTTTGCACAGCCCACGCGGGGTCAGGTAAACGGTGGCCTCATGGTGCGTTCAGGGGCAGGATGCTCAAACTCCCCAAACGGACAGGTCCGAGCAAAATGTTAGTCTGAAATAAGGTTGGAGTATTTATTTATTTATATTTTCGTTTATCATTTGTCTTCAGAAAAGTCAACCCGTCCTTTCAGAGGTATAAAATGGGTTCAGTTGACCCTGAAAATAACAACAACTGCTGTATTTCACTGTGTCCGAAGGATAAAGTGCATCAACAGGTAACTAACTGTTGCTGCCCATCAATCTGGTGAGGGTTTGAGGGCTATTTCCAAACCACTTATAGGGTCTATCAATCTACAGTGGGAAATGTTTTTCAGGAGTGAAACATATTTAAGTCATAGGTCCATCATCAGTCACACATTTTTAACCATGTATAACTTTGACAACCAACATGTTTAAGAGACAATGCCCGTGTAGATGAGACATTAAATACTGGTGATATTTTAAGTACAACTTTCCAAACTCCCACCAAGAGTCCGACGGCACTCCTTAACTCCTATTTTCTAAAAGCGGAGTCAATTAGGCTATTTATTTCAACCTTTGAGTGTAGAATAGTGACTGAGGCAAGCTGCTGACCTGTGTGATTTAAAGTGCTGCACCATGTGGTGAACACGGGTCATTTCAGCTGCCGCTACCTTGTCTGACAAACACCTTTGGATTTCAGGAGGCAGTAGACACAGACTGGCCCATCACCCCTTGGAGTCCTACTTTTAGAGAATATGGCTTTGGTTTCAAAAGTTCCACCCAAGCAAACCACAAAACTGTGACCAAACACCTCCAAGGTGGAGATGTTTGGTCAGATTCAGCACAAACACCAATGTTTTGGAGTTTAATCCAAAGCCACACTTTGACACCTTGCAGTCATTGTCTGTAAAGCATTTAATAGGAACGCTCTTCTTATGAGTATAAGGGACATATCTTCTAAATCATCAGCTAATTTCTTATCAAAAATACAAAAGTAAGAGCACTGTTTCCCCACAGTGTACATGTTACTTATAAAGAAAGGGTTACAGGGATCACAGAAAAATGATACAATTTATTTAAATTATATTATTAGTCATTTTTATTAGAGATTATAGCTGGCAACCCAGTCCGAGTACCCTTTTTCATATGATTACAACACCTGCTGTTGACCACAAAAACCATGACAATACCAAGTCTACCCAAGCGTGCCATCCTGCCCATTCGTGTGCTTCTGAAATGACACGGGGCTGATGAGGAGACACCCCCTGACTGTAAATGGACGTTAAAGAGTGCAGCTCGCCCGGGGTGACTCGCAGGCCGTTGCCATGGCATCGGGAGGTGACGACGCAGAAACCTCCCCATGCTGCGCGCTCCAGAGGGCTGCAGCTTGCCTGGTCTTGCAAATCCACAAGTAGATCAACAGCATATGAAAGAACACGCCGCTCACGCACTCAGGTTTGTGCGAAAAAAAAGAAGAAAAAAAGAAGCAATGCTGAAGGCATTCAGCCGGCCCCAGAAATTGTGATGAATCAAAAGTACATTTGAACACACAAGTCATTATCAGTACTTCCAGTCGCTTTTCCAGATTTGCTCAAATGACCAAACAGCCTACAGACCACATCCAAAGATAGATGTGTGTGCTGGCGTTCACAGGATCAGAGCAAAGGAGAAGAAAGAGCGAACAAAGTGGCTGCTCCTGCTCCCTCTTTAATCTGCTCTTACCAGCTGCACGGCCTTCCCCGGTCTGATGAATATTTGATAGGCGTTTGCTGCTTCATCTGCATGGTTTACAACTTGGGTCCACACATCTGCACAGACGCTGCTGCACCAGCAGCCCTCACCCACGGTCCCCCTTCTCCCGTCAGTTTTTCTCAGATCAGAGTGAAAGAGGGAGCAAAGAGGGTGAGGAGGAAAGGCACATCTCCAGCTGTGTTTTTTTTTTTTCACGCTCTGGTGCCTTTGCCTTGGCTGCCGCGCCCATTCACTGAGGCAAGGAGAGAGGAAAAGTGTTATCAATAGGGAGGTGATCAACTTCACACGTGTTTTAAGGCGATCTGTCGTTAAATTGCCCCTGAACAATCCACCAGAAGTAGGCTACTGTTATTTGTAAGTTAGTTTTTATCTTTGAGACTGCTACAGAAAAAGGCTCATTTTCAACGTGTGAAATGTTCTTAAATCAATCAAGCCATCCACCTCCATCCATATCACACCTTCAGGGTGCAGAGACTGGAAAGGTGTGAATTATGGAGTTTCTCTCCGATATTCACACATGCAGCTTACAGTTAGAAGAGCATCACCTGATGTTAACACCTCCATCTCTGTCGACGTACACGAAGAAGCTCTAAAGATGGAAATATATTGATACTTTTGCTTGAGATACTTTAGAATGGTACAGATAGAGATTAGCACAACACACCTATCAGGCTATCGGGGAGAAATACTGTGTTGTTTGAGCACATGTATCTTCCTTATACAGTATATCAGTCCATCAAAGCCCAGTTCTTCGCCTGGCTCCCAGACAGGGTGTTTCATTTCTAGTTTATTAAAATATGTACGACAACTGAAACCCAGCTGTTCGAACCTCAACAGAAGGTGTGGGTTAATCAATTCTTAATAATTACTTCTGACCCATCAGCTCGGTTTCACAGTCACCGCTGAACATGCGGGCGAAAATTAGACACCAGATGTTTTCAAGGGAAGTGATGCTAAAGGGAAAAAAACAGCATGGAAATGACTTCTGAGAAACTAAACAGAAACGTGCTGGTTGGTTTTCTTGCCTGGTGAGATGGTGACAAAGACGCTGTGTTCCTATTCAGCATGTCAATGTTCTCAATACTGAAACTGAACGTTTCGGAGTCCTTGAGCACAAATGGGCGTGAGAAATTCTGCCTCCCTCAGTGAAGTCACACCTCTCTGCACACATAGACTTTTCCAGGTTTTTGTAATTAAAAAACCCAACAACACTTCCACATTTAGACCCATCTGAAGTTGTCTTGTTCTTCTGAAGTGACAGGAAAAATGAAACACTTGTGAAAACATGGATGTCTGCCTGAAACGCCAAGGCATCCCTCATTCAGAATATATATATACATATGTATATATATATGTTTCTTCTCTTTGAAGTGCAGGTTGACACGTTTATACAATCGACCTCCACGGCACAATGTCACTTTGTAATAAAATAAAACATCATAGTCTCTGATGCCATCTAGGGGGTACATCTGCATCAGCTGGTTCAACAAAAATATCGGACCCGAGATATCTTATCCGACAGAATAAAATGATCACATGCCTATTTACCATGTAATCGAAACACAACTCATTTCACAAGTTTCAAAGCAGCAACCTTAAGCTGAATGTTCAGTTCTGTCACGCCTTATTTACGCTGGAATTGCGACGTTTATGGGTTTTTCACGAATATTAAAAGTCCGACAGCCCCCAAACGTAGCACAACTCCAACTGCCAATGACGACAAAGGAGGCATAGCCTGCAGTTTTCTGTGAATGACACATAAGTTACCCTTACACAACTTACGTCGCGGCGAAAGAGGTAATATCCTAATTATTCGCTTTGGCTGTCCTTACAATCTGTTTAACCATTTATTATTTTTGTGCGTCGTCGTCCGTATAAGCGAATTTTTTGGTTGTTGCTAAGCCAGCACTTGTCTTTCAAATAAGCTAGCCGAGCAGCTAATAACTGTTAGCAAACGTTAGTTAAACTGCTAACAAGAGAATGTAAAGAAGGGTATTTAGACCTTAAAACTGCGCATGATGTAACCATGTTACTTTTGCTTTCCTGTGAAGTGATACTGGACTTGGCCATGGTTAATTTCTGGAATATATAGACATGCCTTGGCTTTGAATGTGTTTTGTCGCTGATGCATCAATAAAATTAAAGTCAAAGATGACAAGCAAACACACAAGCAATTAAGTTTCGTTTTCCACTGAAATTCTAGTTAGGTAATATATTTTTTAAGGATCCAGGTGGGAGCAGAAATGTGATTTTCTTTAATAAGTGGGGAAGGGAAATAAAACTCAAAAGAGACGCGTAATGAATAACAAAGCAGATGTCATACAAAGTATCCTAAACGGATTCAACCAACTCTAAAGGCTAAAAACACACACACGTTTGACGTAAGAGGACAGAACAATAGACTTGAAAAGGGATGTTTGACCCTTAAAGATGCACAGCTGTGAAACAAACGTAGCTGGACCAGAAAATGAACAGAAAGTGGTGTAAAATGACCAAATAAACATCATTAACCAAACTGGGACACATAACAAAAAGGAATGGCCTGTTCTGATCCTGGTCGGGAGAAAGTAATGGGCCATTTGTTTTTTGGTACCAGGAGCCTTTTGTTTCTCTATCAATGTGTATTCTTTGACTGTTGTTTTATTGTTAACACATACTCACTTTGTGTTCATTCTTTGTTTTTTTTTTGTTTTTTTGTTTTTTCCAGAGACAGCACCTTTGAGGATTCCCTTATGGATTCCCCCCATCAGCCCAAGAAGCCTAGCTTGAATCGAGAGCCTAAGCGCAGCCAGAACCAATCGGCCCCCCCTCCTCAAAAAGATGCCTATGCCAGGCTTCTTAGCCAGCATCACAGCAGCAAGTTCAGCTTGTATCTAGAGCAGTATGCAAAGGACTTTGAAAAAGAAGGGAACGGTCCCTCTGTCCAAGCCCAGAGTTACGGCCTTCATGTACAGCAACAAATAAGAGAGCAGGTGCCTCGTGATTTCTCTGATCTACCTGACGTCCTCCCCTCCCCTGTGAAAAACAAAGGAGAGGAGAGTTCCTTGTCATTGTACATGGAGAAACTAAGCACTCGCGGTGCTCAGCAGGAGTGCGAAAAGAAGCAAGGTGTGTCTGACCGGCAGCGGCGTGGACAGAGGAGGGACACCACCACCAGCCAGGATGGAGACATCGAATCAGGAGAGGAGCTCGCTTCTTTAAAGCCCAACAGCGCAAAGAAGCACCAGAAGCAGCAAAAGAAAAACAAGGACTCCAACAGAGATGTCGCCTCCAAAGAGGCAGAATTATTTCAGGGGTTTCCACAATCTCCAAAGAAGTCCAGCATGGCTGCGCAAGAGCCTGATAAGTCGAGTAAATCGAAGAGAAAAGGCCCCCCAAAGCACCCAGACGAAGAAAAGAACAGAGAGGGGAATCTAAACCTAGGGGTTGATGCACAAACGTCAAGGCCCATATCTCCTCATGGTAAAGATAAAAAAGAGCCCAGAGGTAAGGTGCAGTTTAAAAAAGACAAAGAAAAGAGAAAAACTCTTTATGAAGTCAGTTAATCCATGAGTTTGGCCTTTTTCAGCTTCGACTACCAGTTCTCCTGCCGACAAGAGTAAGAGCAAAGACAGAAGAGGATCGAAGAAACAAGTCTTTGAACCTTACATGACATTTGAGGAGGTTTCTCACGGCTTAAAGAGGGGAGAGCTCCTTCAGGTATGAACCTGAACCCCCCCTTTCATTTCCATGGAAGCAGTAGGGCTGAAATGAGTATGTAGTTACCGTCTAAATCAGGGGTCACCAACCTTTTTGAAACGGAGGGCTACTTCATGGGTACTGAGTCACACGAAGGGCTACCAGTTTGATACACTCTTCTGAAATAATACATTTCCTCAATATGCTTTTAGCTATACTTTATTAATAATCATTAATGATACTCATTTGTGACAACAGTGACAACAAAATGGGAAACATATCAATATCCACCACTTTATCTCTATTTATCTCAGCAACTGTTAACTTTTCAAATGATCACTTACTGTACATCACTACATTTACATAGGAGTTTTCATTTTCACTAGCCACTGACAAAACCTTTTAACAAATCATGAACTATGTTGCACCATGTTTCAAAAAGTTATCAATTATTTAATGTTAAAGAAAAATCAACTCACATATTAAAAAGAAATCTGAAATCTCATGGCCAAATCTTTAATAGATTGGCATTGCATGCTGTTCACCAGTGCATTGTAATCTGGTGTGTAACTTGACACTGCAACTGTGAGTGCATATTTCAGATGTGCTTTTTCTGCCCGTAGTGCGATTCCCGGTGGGTAGTTAGCATGCTAGCTTTTGTGGCACAAAGTGAAGTGTCTCTCCACATTGTGCCGCTTTGCCGTCGCCACGGTTGCCCCGCAAATCAGACACACGCAGGTTTCTTTTACAGTCGTAAAAGAGAACTCCTCCTCCCATTCGTTGTGAAAGTGATAAGTTTTCTTTCGTTTTTCTCCCATGTTTTTGGGGTAAGAAACTGCACCCATCTCCGCTGTGCCTGCTAGCTTACTCTCCACTGACACTGGTTTTGTTTTGTCACGTGCACAATACTGACCTTTGAACCAGAGAAAACTTAAACTTAATATATAGTGAACATATTTTTAAGATATTGTCATTTTAAATCAAATCTATATGAATGCAAGTGTGATTAAAAAAGAATAGCAACGGAACAAAATTAAATTTTCGACGCTGCTCACTATTGAGTTGTGCTATTTTTAGAACAGGCCTGCGGGCGCCTCGGGTGGTCCGTGCGGGCAACCTGGTGCCCGTGGGCACCAGGTTGGTGACCCCTGGTCTAAATAAACAACGGTGTAGTCCTCTATGTCGAGTGTTGTTCTTCATCTGCGATCATGTTTAGCAAATATGAAAGAGATTAAATAAACCTTCGTATTAAAAAAACAAAACCAAAACAACTTTATTTTTTCACACCACACGCTTCAACCAATGTAATTTTTGTGTATTTTCTCTGCAGGGGCAACTGAGAATCAACCCCAAGAAATACCATGAAGCTTTTGTCCCATCTCCTGTAAGTTACTTTGACAGTAAAAGAAAAGCACCCTTTATCTGGGGATTTTTTTTCCAGAACATGAAAGGTAGTATCCTGAGTCCAACGAGCCGTTTGTCCGGTGTTTAGGATGACTCGCGGGACATTTTCCTGGACGGCATTGTGGCCCGCAACAGGGCGCTGAATGGAGACGTAGTGGTGGTGAAGGTGCTCCCTCAGGAGCAGTGGAAGGTAAACGCAGCATCCGAACCCCGGCCGGGCGCGTTTGCCCTCCAACCGGTGATGACGGGAGTCTGTGCGTGCAGGTGGTGAGGTCCGACACCGACTGCGAGTCGGACACCCAGACGGACCACGCCCGGAAAACGGCTCAGAGGAAGACAAATCCCAGCGGTTCGGAGGACCAGGTCAGCGACCAGGACGAGCTCGTCACTAATTCCCGGAATACGGCGCTCGCTGACACAGGTACTGTGAACATGGAGGGGCTGAGGCAACACAATAAGCACAAATTAGAGCTGGGTGATAATGGTCATAATATGCAACCCAAGTATTTTCACCTGAATATAGCCTTTACTGTATGAATTTGTATTGTTTTTCACATTACAGCCATATAATTAATACTTTTATTAACAGGAAGCCTTTAACTTACAATCTAGATTTCAGGAGTCAGTTTCTCTCTTTGTCATGTATTTCCTTTGAACATATGCTCATATTTCCTGTCCACCCTTAGTTAGCAATAGAAACTTCCAAGTTACCACTAATGCTGCTTGTTAACCAGCAGCCACTGATTCTTCTCAATAGAAAATTTGTGTTTGGATGTCAGTAGTTTGAGCGCACAGGGCTTCAAAACAGAATAGACACAGTTTTTGGAGAACTGTGGCTACTCCTATGCAAGGAGTTAGGAGAGATCTGCAAATTCTACCCTACCTCACAAAAGATCCAGCATTTTTGGTATTGCCGTATTCCAAAAATCCTCCTAAGTGTCTGTCTGAGTTTACGTGAGTTGGTACGTAGGTAAACAGAAACGCAGTCAATACATCTGTCTGTGTTTTTTATCATCTTATGGGATTAGTTGGACAACTGGAAGACCCCTCAACACCACGTTCCAATGGAGGAATTCTCCAAAAGACTGCCAAAGTGAGCTGTTTTTCTTACCCACTTCTCTTTCTCCATCAGGCATTTCCAATAAAATTCCCACAAATTTGGTAAAATTTTTTCTTCTCAAAGACAAAAACCAAAAACAATGGCAGACAAGAAAGATCCGCTTTTCACTAAGTAATCCATTCTTTTCTAAAAAAAAAACGAAAAAAGGATCCCAGTCCGGTGAGGGTTAAGCCAAAGCTGTTTGAATGGGCCCAGATAAATACAGCTCACACAGCAATTAGGCTCCCAGCACGTAAAGCAATGAAAAGGTCAGACTTAGCCTAAAGCCCCGCCTCCTTGCTCCTCCAGGTGGTTTACATTGTGGAGAAGAAGCACTCGCGGGCCGCCACCGGCTTCCTGAAGTTCCTCCCGGACAAACCCTTCGCCCTGTTCTCCCCCGTGGACCACCGGGTGCCGCGCATTAACGTTCCGCTAGCCGACTGCCCCCAGGACTTCAGCTCCCGCCCCGGCGACCACGCCACCACCTTGTTCATCTGTCGCATCGTGGACTGGGCGGCCGACAGCAACTTCGCCGAGGGGTGAGGTGCCTCAGGCGTTGGGGAGATGCGGGGAGTCGTTGGTGGGCCGCGCTGATCCTCTCCTTCTCCCGCAGGCGCCTGGCTAAAACGCTGGGCCAAGCCGGGGAAATCGAGCCGGAGACGGAGGGCATCCTGATCGAGCACGACGTGGACTTCTCCGAGTTCTCCGACGAGGTGCTGGACTGTCTACCGAAGAACCTGCCCTGGACCATTCCCCCAGAGGAGATGAGCAGGAGGCGAGACCTCAGGTCAGGCTCTGAACCCCCTCCGAGTCGCTTTTCAGTCCAAGCCCTCGTCACAGCTCGCTAAAACTCTCCGCCTGATGTGTAGGAATGAATGTATCTTCACCATCGATCCGGCGACCGCCAGAGACCTGGACGATGCCCTGTCCTGTAAACTGCTCCCAGACGGTAAATGGCTACGTGGTGCTCTCCATATGAATAATTAACGCATGGTTCAAGTGAATGATGTAATATCCCCAAAAGGAAGAGAAGTAGAAGACATTTGGGTCCTTCTCTTCCTAAACGTTTGAGCATGTTCGATCACAATAGCACCCCGTCCTGACTGGATCTCTACCCCAGGTAACTTTGAGGTCGGCGTTCACATCGCCGATGTCACTTACTTCGTGGAGGAAGGCAATTGTCTGGATGCCATCGCCAGCCAAAGAGCTACCAGCGTGTACATGGTCCAGAAGGTGAGCTCATTCGTTTCGCAACAGGCGAAGCTCTGGGCCGGGGTTTTTTTTTTTCTTAGCTCTGAGGGTTATGTTTGCTCACCCTTCAGGTGATCCCCATGCTGCCCCGGCTGCTGTGTGAGGAGCTGTGCAGCCTCAACCCGCTCACCGACAGACTCACCTTCTCCGTCATCTGGAAAATCACCCCCGAGGGAAAGGTACGTCCAGAAAAAGCGCGCCGGCCGGCCCCAGCGCATTCAGTCCAGGCTAAAGCAGATCCCCGTGGCTTGAACCGCACAGATCCAGAGCGAGTGGTTCGGCCGCTCCGTCATCCGCTCCTGCGTGAAGCTGAGCTACGACCACGCCCAGAGCCTGATCGAGGCCCCCGAGAAGTTATTCTCCCCCGAGGAGCTCCCCCCCGTGGACCCCGCGCACCCCATCGACGAGATCCACCAAGCTGTGCTCCACCTGCACGGCATTGCCAAGCACCTCCGGGCTCAGCGCTTCTCAGGAGGGGCTCTAAGACTGGACCAGGTGAGACGTGTGCTGGAAAGGAGGTCCCAGACTTTCTTCAATGCTGCTTAGAATTCTACTCAGTATAAGATAAAATCCTAGTGTTTAACATCTCTTAAAAGGCTAAGTAACTACTTACAATAATTACAACGATTAGCCGTTGTTTTATTTAAGGAGCTGCTTCCTAATTTGACTAAAATGTACAATCACAGAATGTTTCCCTGGTTGTGGGTTTGCACATGTAAAATCTAATTCTAGATTCAAAGATGACAGTGCTTCACAGCTGATTTGAGGAAATGTAGTTTGCTTCTACTCCTATTAGTTATTCTTTTAACGGTTTTATCTGCTTAAATGAATGAGGTTCGTGCAATAGGAGGTTGCAGGGAGATAACACTCTGAAAGAAATGCTCCCTTGAGGCTTCAATAAAGCTTTGGAGAAAGCAACGGTGATAATTGAGGAAAGAGTTTTAAACTCCATCACGTCACCGGTTAACTCCAAGTGACCAGAATTACCATGACAGCTGAGACTTAACAGGACTGCGTGAACATAAATGTTAGTACTTATTATTTAAATATGAATGTTTCATCCATTTGTTTTTTTTTGTTTTTTTTATAGCTAAAGCTTTCTTTCACTCTGGACAAAGAGACAATGATGCCTCAAGGCTGCTACGTTTACCAGTACAGAGACAGCAACAAGTGAGTTATTTCTCTTTAATCTGTTATTGTCTTTCTTTCTTTTTTAAAAATTCTTAAATAAACATGATCATACTGGTGATCTCCTTTCCCCCCACAGATTGGTGGAGGAGTTCATGTTGCTGGCTAACATCGCCACAGCGCACCACATACACCGCAAGTTCCCCGAGCTGGCCCTGCTCCGGCGCCACCCGCCCCCAAAAGCCAAGCTGGTGGACGATCTGCAGGAGCTGTGCACCCAGTTGGGACTCGACGTCGACCTGTCCTCTGCCGGAGCGTTGAATGTCAGTACTCCAGCAGGAGGAAGCGACCCACATTTTTTTATCCGTCACAAAAACCCTTCAATCATCCAAACAGCTTTTTTTTTTTATTTTTATTTTTTTTTTTTAAAGCTAAAAACTTTCATTTGAACTTGTGTTATTTGTCTCCGTGATGCGTCTGCAGCTCAGTTACTAATGAGAAAAATGTCTACTCTTTTTCTACTCCAACGAGCAGAAGAGTCTCCACACGCTTCTGGGTAATGATGAGTATTCCAGTGCCAGAAAAGAGGTCCTCACTCACATGTGCTCCAGACCCATGCAGGTGAGGCCCTCGGCTGTCCTGTTCTTCTTCTGCCTGCGTACTTACACATATCATTCAATCTAACTGTTGTGAATTGGTGGGGGAAAAAAACATACAGAAGGATTTTTTTTCCATTCCTGTGTGGATACTGTTCAAACGTTTTTCATCTGCATCTCCGACCTTTCCCAGATGGCGTTGTACTTCTGTTCGGGTGTGTTGAAGGATCAACAGCATTTTAAGCACTACGCCCTCAACGTTCCTCTCTACACACACTTCACCTCGCCCATCAGACGCTACGCTGACATCATAGTGCACCGGCTGCTGGCGTCCTCTCTGAGTACGTGCCTCCGTTTCTACAAAGAGCTCTCAGAAAAGCAAAGAGCATTTCGAACCTAACAGCAGCGTTTCTATTCACATACTCCAACATTTACATTACACATGCATATTTACCATGTACATCAATCCTGCAAAGGACAAAAAAAGAATAAATAGGCATAAAATCACCTTAATTATATATCAAAAAAGGAGAAAGAAATAAATGTAGATAATATTAAATAGAACAAAGACATGTTAAGACTCCTTTTCACTTCTAGCCGGATTACTGTGGTTTCACACACTGCCTCTGTTGTTCTGCACCTCATGTGTCTGTGTTGACCTTTCCAAATGGAGAAAGGAGCCGAGCAGCCCCAGCTCTCAGTCGCCGCCTTGTTCCTTCCATTAGGCTGGTTTGTTTTTCTGTGCTTTGTCTCGTCCACGAGCGGCGCGCCCGAGTTGGAATGCCTCCGGACTAACTGCGGTTTGAACCTCTGCCCACAGAATGCGGGCCCCACATCGGCCTGTCAATGGCGCAAGTGGAGAAACAGGCGTCGCACTGCAACGACAAGAAGACCCTGTCCAAGAGGGTCCAGGAGCTCAGCTCAGATCTTTTCTTTGGAGTGTTCGTAAAGGTGAGCAAGTCCGATCACAGAACGCTGACGAGGGATCTATAGACTAGCTACGGTGCCTATGCAGATACAGAAAGCTTTATTTATGCCGAGGGAAATTGCTCTGCAACACTTGCGATACAAAGTGAAAATAAATACAGCTAAAGTAGTTAGAAGTTGAATAAACAGAGACATGATGAAGTGAGAAGTGACAGTGTTTTGATTCAGGAGACAGTATCTAGACAGTTCCTGTCTTGCTAAATTAAAAAGTCAGATGGCCACAGGAAGAAGGAAACCTTCTGCTCGAGGTCACATTTCTCCCTCTTTCGTAAAAAAAAAATATATTGGTCTAACTTTCTATACGGTCGAGTCAGGATCAGCTCTGCTGAGAAATGGGTGCGGCGGGCCACCTCCTTTCTGAGCTCACTACCACTCGACATGGGTCCTGAAAGGCTTTTAAGAAAAGCCTGTGCTGAATACTGTGGCGTGCTCCACAGGAGAGCGGCCCGCTGGACTCGGAGGCCATGGTGATGGGGGTGCTGGATCAGTCCTTCGACGTGCTGGTCCTCCGATACGGAGTCCAGAAACGGATCTACTGCAAGGTCAGCCGCAGTTTCACAACAAGCAGTGAAAACAAAACTGATTAATCGGTTTCAAAAGATAAGTTATGTTCTCCTGAGTGTGTAATGAGTCGACTGTCTCCGCTCTCAGTCCATATCAGAGCTGGCCTCTTTCCATCATCGTAAAGTGGGGAAGATGTCTGAGCTGACTCTGGTCTGGTTACCGGAGGACCCAGAGAGTGCCCCAGTGGAACAGGTGGGAACACCAAAAGTTTTATCGTAACGCTACAATTAGCTTTGGAATTTCAGTGATTTCCGAAAAATGACTTATAAGTCCAAAAACCCAAATCATCAGTTTCTCTTTTCCGTTTCCAGTTGATCACCATCTTTTCTCTGGTGGAGGTCCAGCTCAGAGCCGACGACGCTCCCATGAAATACAGCGCAGCTCTGAAGAGGCCCGAGGACGGCAAATCCTAAGGAAACAACTCCCCCACACACACCCACCCCCCAACCCCCGACAGAGTATTCCTCATTTGATGAATGAAAATGACATTTTAATTGATGTGTAGCGTGGAAGCGGCCCTGCTCGGATCTCCCTGAGCTCCTGTCCTCAGCGTAGGCCCGTTAAAGGTTCGCTTCTGTGTGGTTTTAACAGCAAACACCCCTTAGAATCTTCTTTTTTTATCAGTTTACAAAGGGCGTGGAGCTGAGAGCGAGCAAGTTTGGCTCCATTCTGCAGGTGAACAGAAGGAAAGCAGCAATAAATTTGGAATTTGCTGCTGATTTATTGACCTAATGAGGTCGGCCGTGATAAGACGTAAGCGTTATGTCTGTTTATTGTTTTTAAGATGGTAATTTAATTAGATATTTCCTACCGATACACTAAGAGAAGACCTATGCTTTCGGAAACCGTCTAATACAGCTTGCTGCTGAGGTTTTTCTCAGTCCGCCTAATTTGACGGACTTTAGTTGCTTTAACATTAACCCGGTGCAGGTGAAAATGTGAAAGCTGTCGCCGCCTGTTTCCTTTTGCAAGTCGCACGTTTGGAGTTTCTTTATTATCAGCGCAACCCGAACAGCGTGGGCGGAAAGGGCCCGGACTCTTTAAGATCTCAGCTCTTCCTCAACGCCAGTTTACAAGAAAGCCGAAGGTTTGTCTGAGGCCACGAGCCAAGGTGCGACCAGGAAGTCCGGCTGGAGCTCTGAGCGTGACTCCCAGCAGGTACATCCACACTGATAAAGGAGCAGCAGGGGCTTCCTGACCTTTGTGTCCGAATCTGCTGCTGCCTGTGAAGGCACACGACAGAAAGCAGCTCCCAGCTGTCCTCTGTCATTTGCACCCTTAAGAGAAGGCCTCTAGGGTCTAGTGGAATCTCTCAATTTAAGCAAAGCCTTATCTTTTGAGTATTTATTCTATGTGTCAAGCCAAAGTTTGAGCACTTGTCAACTCAAGTTTTTAATAGAAACCTGGGAAATGACTTAAAGGTGACCTGCTGCTTGAAAAGGGTCCGCAACCACGAGGTGGGAATGAATTTTATGTTTAGGATTTGCTTCATAGGGATTCCAGTGTTTGCTTCTTCTTCTTTTTTTAAAAAAACTTGAATTTCAGGTTTGATTTGTGCACAAAGACTTTTATGTACCTCATCTGTATCAAAAGTGAACATCAGCCTTAATTTAAGACTCGATTTATTGAATCGGGATTGAACCCGAGCTACACATTTTGGAGATCTGCGTGCCTGTTTGTCACCCCTCTGATTCCGATTGGTTTGTGCCATACTGATCATACAAACCACAGCTACTATTAAATAAAAAATAAGTGTTTGTTTTTTTTCTGAAATGAAGCAGCAAAATGTTTAAATTAGTTTTAAACCACCTACTGCACAAACCTGTAGTGACCTACAGGAGTGTGTGTTATATGTTGTTGGGGTAAAAAGTAGAATTATAAGAAAAAAAAAACCTTAATGTGAATTGCTTTTTTTCTTTCCG